TGTGTGTCTCTCTTTCTTTTTTTCATTCTTTGGGTTTTCCAAGACAGGGTTTCTCTGTGTAGCCCTGGCTGTGCTGGAACTCCCTCTGTAGCCCAGGCTGGCCTCGAACTTACAGAGATCCGCCTGCCTCTGCCTCATGAGTGCTGGCATTAAAGGCGTGCACCGCCGCCACCGCCGCCACCACCACCTGGCCAGCTCTTTGATTTATGATATAAGGATCCATAGCTACATTAGCTACTTGAGTAAACACAGACATTATTTTTACACTAAAATTTTCCCAATATTAGTGAACTTGAAATGTTTGCTTAGGTCACATATGCAATTAGTTAAGTTATAAAATTCTAGTTAATTTCATCCACTCCCTTGACCTACAAGTACATATACATTTTTGTAAAACTCAAAACAAATTAGAATATAAACTCTCAGCAGAAGAAAAGAGCTTGCCAAGTGCTATAATAAACTACAAAGAGCACATGGAATAAATAACACTAGTATTAAAACTGCAGGTCCAAGCTACTTAAGCAGGAGCAAACAATAACCTGCCTTTATAACCAGAGGAATTTCTTCAAGTAGAATAACAGCACAAAGCATGTATCATAACTTACTAGAATCGTTAATTATTGAAGTCTCTTTCCTTTGCTATAAAAAAAGTTAAACTTTTCTTGATAAGTGATTTTTTTCCCCTATTTTGGCTGTTATGGGGCCAAACTGTTACAAAGGATTAAAAGAAACCAGTATTTGTCTTCTTATTTTTAATTATATGTGTGTACTGTGTCTGTGGGGGCAGTGCATGTGAGCACAAGCCCATGGATGTCAGAAGGAAGTATCAGATCCACTGAAACTGAAGTTGCAGGAAATGTGAGCCATCTGATATGGATGCTGGGAACTGAACTCAGGTCTCTGAAGAGGAACATGTGCTCTTGACTGCTGAGCTATCTCTCCAGGCCCAGACTGAAAATATCCGAAATTACTTGGAGAAATAAAATTCAGAGTAACTATCAAATATTTCATACATAAAGTCTGTATAAAAATCATGGACTTTATTATACATTTAAAAAATTCAACATATTTCTTGAAGCCTTGTCAGCAAATACCTATTTTGACAAATGGAAAAATAAGTTCTCTGCCCCACAACTATACCATGATCACAAATCCAATTCTAAGAGAGATGCTGCATGATTTTTAATTGTACACTGCACAGTTGGTTATTATCATCAGTGAAATAAGAGTTAATCAATTTACTTACATTACAAAAATCACAAAATATACAAAGCAGTCTTGCACATTAATTATCATTTAATCCCCAGTATTCATATCAACTGAAGTCAATTACTTACAAGTGCAGCCAGACTGATTAAAAGTTCAGCATGGTTCTAGTTTCAAATCTTTTTTGTTATTAATGTAGAATAAAAATCTCATCAAAGAGAAATAACTCAAACTTGCTAAAAACAAGATGAAAAGCTTGTTTGAGACATACACTGGTGTGTTTAATATTTAAAGTATGATCTGAATGCTCAGGCTTGTTATCAAATAATATTCTCATTTCATTCAGATACCAGAAGATTTTGTAATATACTAGCTTTCAGGGTCTGCCAATATTGTCAGTTCAAATTGTAAATAGTGTGGTTCCTGTAGTAAGTGGTGAACGTTCACCACACAAAATCATGTGACCTACAATGTTATGTATATCCTACTATCATTTTCTCAAAAAATAATGGCAACTTCCTCATCCGAACACTGTGGAGCTAGGAATTCTTTTGAAATTAAACACCAAGTAACCTTTAAATACAGGGCAAAAACAAGATTAGCTTCAGGGACTCTGTTCAAAGGGACAGTTTTAGTCTCTAGTGAGTTTATAGCAAGTCTCTAGCAAGGATACAGAAATAAGCGATTTTCTATTGAATTTATTACTACAGTTATGCAAGTACTGTCAATATAAGTAACAGAATGCACAACAGAATTAGGTAGGCTAAATTTCATTTGTTTTTTAAAGAAATATTAATTTCTAAAAAGCTGGGAGAGATTTTGGAGGACAGTACAACAGCCCAAGATCAGCACTAATGTTTAGGAAGAAGCTCACAGGCAGCCTTCCTCAAGCAGGAGAGCTGATTAAAGCTGATGTGCAGAATCCCATACAGTTTAATAGCAACAGAACTGGAGTCATCCGAACTGTTCAACCCCCTCAGGACGTGTCCTGGGCATTGGAACACATTCTGGTCTGACCTGTGGACATGACAGCAACTGTGGGAATTCCTATGAAACGTGACTTAAAAAGAATTAGAAAACCCTCACCCCTAGCCTGAATTTTTATCCAAATAGCAGCATTTTGCTACCATGCAAAGCAGCAGCAAGTAAAACTGTCTCCTGATGGTGAGCACTCTTACTATAAAACAACATATTTCCCCTGAAGTACGCAGGACATCTTATATCAAGAAAAAACTTCATGAAACTGAAAACTTGGGATGGGGATGCAGCTCAGTGGTAGAGGACTTATTTAGCATGTGTGAGAGACTGGGTTTGATCCCCAGCACTGCCAAAATCAAACAGACAACAAAAACAAAACAAATAAAACCAACAACAAAAACCAGAAACCTTACCAACCTCCATAAAGTCTTAAAAGCAAGACTTGCCACAACTAATCAAGTACTGACCACAGCAATTTCTAGGTTAACAAGAAGGAAACACTAATGTGAAAGCATTCCCTTTAGTAAGTACAAAATATACTTTTAGCCAAATGTACTCCATAAATTGCTACTAATTAACTGTATGTTTAGGCAATATAAGACTTTAAAGTATATTAAATAACCATTACTTCCATTTGGCACATGGATAAAAACAATATCATGATCATATATATATATATATATACACATATATAGATTTGTATGTATATGTTATCTCATTACTACAGAAAACTGTTCTTAATGAGTGTGAATCTGAGCTATATTCTGATACCTAAAACAGAAGCCACTTCTAATACAGAACTAAGAGAAAATTACTTGTGAAATTGGTGGTTAACCTCTTGAAAATCTATAAATGTATGACTATGTAAAATACTTTAGTCAATATATTTAACCTTATACATATGTATATATACACTTTTCCATGTAGAACACATGAAAACAAAATCTACAAACAGATTAAAATCTGAGTGAAGAAAGAGTTTTGACAGAAGATAAACTGCAGGGACATGTCAACCTTGGTAGCAAGTTAACTCCTTCCTTGGTCCTATACTATATGAGGAGTTCAATTCCTTTTCAGTCTTTCACGGAATTAGACCTGTGACTCATTTGAAAAGTAAAAGTATTTACAATAATTAGTACAAATTATTCTATATTCATAAATTAGTTATTTGCCTTTGTGGATATAAAGTGGCAATTCAATTCATTATCAAAATGTGGGATTATGAAAATACTGGGATTATCAGTCTGAAATTTAAAAGATTATGTTCTCTAAACCAAACTGCACATTTTTATTCTAAGCAGTAAACATAATTGTTATAGAACACCTTTTGAGAAGTCACTTATTATTAATAAAAATTATTTCACAATACAGAAAATACAATGTATCACTCTACAACACTCCCTTTACATGTCAATTCTAGTATAAAATGTTTGAACAACAACAACAAAATCTTTCAATAAACTCTAACCCTCACTGCTCTGCAGCAATAATGAAAGTCCCAACCTGAGAACTGAGAGGACAGTGACAAATACCAAGGACTGTGTCAACACCAACAAGACACTTGAGTCTCTTTCCTACTGCCATGACAGAGTTCATCAGAGACGGGGGCAAGACCAGAAAATGCCCTGAAATCAACAGCACCATCTGCCACTGTTCTGTGATTTCATACAAATCCTACTGCATACTTAATATTGTTAGAATATTTGCAAACTTGTAGAATGCTCCACAGAACGGATTTTAAGCTCATTCGGCTGAACACTCTCTCACTACCAACAAGATATTCCTACAGAAAGGGAGAGAGCACACACACGAATGTCAGAATCTGAAGAATAAATAATTTCTTATGGAGACAGCCAATTACAATGCAAGATAAAAAGTGTTCACAATTTGAAAGAAAAATATCTTGAGCAAGTGTGATTCCTCAGCAATCTACTACAGGAAGTAAGCAGGTCTTATTTAGGTAGGCGGAATTTGATGATAATGCGCAGTATTTTATTTTTAAGGATATGCTCAATATAACCTGTTATCATGCTTAGTCTTTTGTAAATTAAGCTGAAACAAGCAAATATAAAGCTTAGTCTCCTCCTTGATCTTTCAACATGGTTACCTTGTGCCACATTCCAGGGGAAGGGGAAATCAATCAAAAAGCAAAAACAAGTTTATGCTTCCGATTCTCTTTTTTTCCCTTCTTCTCCCAAATCACTCTCCTCCGATTGGCTACTGCTAAGGACAACAACCTGGCCCTCACTACCAGCCTGGTTTGGTCTACTGGAAGCAGCTATCAACCGACTCTGTTCTTCCAAGTCCTGGTGGAAAGATAAAAAAGAAAGGAAGTTAACTGTCAGCAGTCAAATGGAGAACTAGTTTTCTGTGCACTCGTACTATGCTCGAGAGCCACTCCAAGCCTGTCACATGCACGGTTCTGGCAATCCGATGAGAAGAAGACTATATATATTCAACAAATCAGACACCAGGGTGAATTTTGGCATCATATGAATAATTCCATAAAAGCAAACATGCAAAAAAAAGTCTGCTATTTTATCCTCCCTTTCTTGTTCTACGGCTAATGTTCTGAATATCCTCATATCTCACTGTACACCACGCAAGTAATCCCCCAGTCAGGAAGCTCCACCGCCGTCCACACCCGTGCCCTGCTCCTCTCCAGCTGTCACCTGCCCTCAGGCAAACTGTACTGCTGTGTTGTCTCTGCCATCTTCTCTTCTCAGGCACCTGTGTCCGACTCACTTCAGTTCTCACTGGTCTCTTCGCATGTGTCCTCCCCAGTGACTTTCTCTCCCGTTTTCCTACCATCAACACCACCAGACTTAACAGGATCCTACAATCTCATGGATCGCCTAATCAAGTTTTAGCTCTGAAAACTGTGTACTTTTTCTTTTTTTTTTTTTTTTTGATTTTTTGAGACAGGGTTTCTCTGTGTAGCTTTGCGCCTTTCCTGGGACTCACTTGGTAGCCCAGGCTGGCCTCGAACTCACAGAGATCCGCCTGCCTCTGCCTCCCGAGTGCTGGGATTAAAGGCATGTGCCACCACCGCCCGGCGTTTTTATCTTTTTTTTTTTAACTGTGTACTTTTAATTATCCTTTTGTAGGTTTGACCCTTAGTACCACAAATAAATAAATAAATAAATAAATAAATAAATAAATAAGGAAGTAAGTAATTGAGTAAATAAAAAAATAGATGGATGAATGAATGTGCTGTAGGGGAATGGAGGAAGCTCTGAGTGAACATGTTATCGACAGGAGCACAGCCTTGTCAAGGACTATACAGTGTCTCAAGTCCATGGGAACTGGCAAAGCTGCCTTCTGGTCTATGCTGACAGTGTGTACAAAAACTAGCAACCACAGCTTCCTCTTCCCTCCTGCTACCTCAGGAATGATTCCAACCTCAGATTGCTCCCTGTAGAGCTCTACAGACTGCTCCCCCTCCACAAGACCTAGACATAAGAAACTGAGTTCTGGGCTGTTGTACGGCAGTGGGTGCCACTCCATCAGAACGAACACCCATCCCAGCTTGTCTATGCACCTTCCTGTCTTCAGTGTCCGTCCTTTCCTCATGCCTTGTCACCCCAGTCTGGTTGCCAGGACCAACCTGTGCTGAACACTGTGTGCATGCGTGTGTATGCGTGTGTATGCGTGTGTGTGTGTGTGTGTGTGTGTGTATGCATGTACATATATGAATATGACACTCGTGCTGATTCTTAAAATAAGTATTTACCCTTTCACAGTCAATGTGGCTTTCAGCAGGACAATTAAGTCTATTGGTATACAAAAATTCTGGCATGTTTCTTTAACAGAAAGTTATATTTCATGGCAGCTACTATGCAATTCAGATGTCAACCCTTTTCTGCTATGCACTGAATCATCTGGTTATGAGGTGGCTGAACAAGCAGAAATGGACTTTCACTTGGAAACTAAAATCTAAAAGTCACAGGGCTGAATTAAACATCACCAATACCACGTAAAGGAACAGATACCTTCTCGATCTGTTTTTGTTTGCTGAGTTCTTTCTGTTGTTTCTCTTTTACTCTCTCTATTTCTTTTTGTTTTTCTGATGCCCTACGATCCTAAAAGGGGGTGGGTAAATAAAACAAACATGTTAAATAGGAAGTAACTTTAAACTTTGCACATTTCAATTAATACGAGCTTTGTAACTTTTTAGTACTTTTATATATGGCACATCAATAGTTTTTCCAGACAGGGTTTCTCTATGTAGCCCTGGCTGTCCTGGATCTCACTCTGTAGACCAGGCTGTCCTCGAACTCAGAGATCCACCTGCCCCTGCCTCCCAAGTGCTGGTGTTAAAGATGTACACCATCACCACCTGGCTCCAGATTCTAAATGATATCTGAACAATAGCACCCACTGTTAATCTTGTTTTGCAAAACAACTGTATTTACTTGCTAGTATGAAAGAGCTTTCATTACCCTGCTTTAGCTTAGACACCCTTGGAAATTAAGTGGCTCTGACTCTTACCAGTTCAGCATGCAGTGCTATCTGTTTTGCCAATCCAACAGAATCACAAATCTAAAAGGATAAAAAAGGAAGACCTCAGATACTTTTCTATTACACTAAAAATTTCAAGTACCCAAATGGATGACATAACTAGTTTTATAATAATTCAAGATAACATACTAGTTAAATAAGAATTTATTTAAAAATATTTCAACCAAAAAAAAAATGTCAGCATGTTTTCTTCAGAATCTTCTGAGGAAACTTCTCCTGCTGGCTTTTCCCTCCATCATGTGCCCATCCTACTTCTCATGGTATCAAACTCATTACTGATAGAGACTAGCACAGAGATCTACAACTGGTCAAAATATAGAACACAAGTGGCCGTAGGGTGCTCAGGCCCAACGGATACATCTGCAGCACAACCCCGACACCCAAGGCTCAGAGAAATGCATGGAAGAGAGTTGAAAAGACTGTAAGAGCCAGCAGACCAGAACATCTGCTTCGTGTCTTCTAGACATGACACAGAAGATGGATCCATGAAATCTCGACAATATGGCTCCCTAAACAAGACCTGAAAATTGACAACAACTGACATGCTGATGTAAATGGAGGAAATTTTACAAGGCCCGACCCCTAGATGAAGAGCTACAGGCAACCAATGGCTGCTGAGAGAGGAAGACCCTGTTTTGTCCAGGGATGAGACCCAAGAGGCTATCCAATTCTAAGTGGTCAGCCCCAAACACATGCATATAAAAGCAATACTAAATGGACTCAGTAAGGTTTATACATACATACACACACCAATAATAATAATTAAAATTATGAATTTTCAAGGGGGGGACAAACAAAGCAGGAGTTGGAAAGCGGAAAGGGAGGAGAGGAAATGATGTAAACACAGTACTCATATATGAAGTTCTCAAAAATAGAAAAAGCTTAAAATTTGAAAACATCACTACTGAAATAGTAAGTCATGCAAAGAATGAGGGATTGAGGTGACGATCCTGATGTAAAATGACTATGGGATATATTCTATTCCTAGGATAAGTTCATGAGGCAAGAAGACTGAGCCAGCTCTCGACAGTACAGAACCTGACAGGCTCCATCACCAGCACTCCTCTCTCCAGAGCAGCATGCTTTCATCAAGCAGCTCAGCTGGACTAGGCACAACCTGAGAGCTTTCTCCAGAAAGTTTAGGTTAAACTGTGACTCTGATAGGTGCTTTACAAAATAAACATTCTGAAAGCCAGGTACCTTCTCCCCCTCATTGTTTGATTCAAATATATAGCAGACTGACGACAAATTACTTTCACTTCTTCCGCCTGACGTCCGGAGAACAAATCCAAAGAGTCGTTTATTTTCCTGGTGTGTAGCATACAAAACTACACACGGTAATGGAAACTGCCACGGAAACACCACAAATAAACATGAGATCTTACATTACAGCAGCATTTAGATGATAAACTCTGATGCTAAATTCTAAAAATATTGTAAATAGAATTTTAAAGACAAATTTTCAATAGAATAATAATCTAGGAACAAATAATACCATATTTGGTGTAGATATTACCAAAGAGATTATTAAATACTGAGTTATATTCAATGACATATTTACCAATACAAATTTAACTACAAAAATGATCTACTTAGTAAATAATTAAATGAAAACATACACTTGTACCTACAAAGAAATACAGAATTATAAAATAAACTCAATTATGTTCATGTCTTGATTCCTACTGCTAACTTCTTTGGCATATAAACTCTCTAGAGATAAAAACTACCAATTGCATCAAAATGTGTTGAATCTTTAAGTTGAAGAGTGCTGAGTAATTTTTTGGAGCTGGTTCTATATGTAACTACAGCCTAAAGACCAATCTAAATTGATACTGTCATACTAGAACACATAGGACTAGGTTATTATCAAACTATAAAATGAATACACGAACAAAAGATACTTAAAACTTTAATCACATATAACTCACTGTGAGCCTTGTAACTTGGGTCTGTGGATCAATTAACCTATAATAATTAAAAATTTGGAAAACAATTTTTTAATTAGGCTGAATTAAAAATTCATTTTTCCTGTAAGTTTGTTTGGAGAGGGTTACTACTTACTTCAAACAGTCGCATGTGACTAATAAATGTGATTCTGTCATACGAAAGATGTTATGGATGGCCCGAGCAGCTAATATCTGGCGCATTGTTTCATAAACGACATCTGGATGGTCATCTGACTTTACCTCCATAGAACCAAGGAATCGGACAATAAATAACTGATGGAGAATAGAATCTGTAACAGAATATGGTACATTATGGCTAAGGGATTCTTTTGGTTTTGCAGCACAGGTTGTCCTTAAACTCACAATTCTCCTGCTTTAGCATCCTGGATGCTGGTTCTACAAGCATGTGCTAGTCTATTTAAATATTTATGTGTTTTTAAACCCCATAGTTCTTTTCCAAAAGAATATACTGCATGGTTTTCGATTTTTCCAGTGAAAAATAAAGCCTAAAGGAGGGATTTATAATAACCTACAGTGTTCAAGCTATAGGAAAATTAAGGTCTCAATTTCAATCAGCAAAATACAATGTTATAGTGATATGGTTTGTGGTGGTGTGAATGAAAATGGCCCCCAAAGGCTCACAGGGAATGGCATTATTGGAGGTGTAGCCTTGTTGTAGTACTGTGGCTTTGTTGGAGGAAATGTATCACTGGGGGATAAGCTTTGATGTTTCAGAAGCTCAAGCCAGATCCAGTGGCTCACTCTCTCTTCCTGCTGCCTGCCAATACAGATTTAGAACTCTAGGCTCCTTCTCCAGCACCATGTCTGCCTGCATGCTGCCATGCTTACTGCCATGATGACAACAGACTAAACCTATAAACCGGCCCCAATTAAATGTTTTCCTTTATAAGAGTAGCCATGGTCATGGTGTCTCCTCATAGCAATAGAACCCCTAAGACATGGTTCTAAATAAAAAGAATTCTTTGTACTATTCCTATAACTTTACTGTAAGTTTAAAATTAAAGAAAAATAGCTGCAGCCGGGCATGGTGGTGGCGCACGCCTTTAATCCCAGCACTCGAGAAGCAGAGGCAGGTGAATTTCTGTGAGTTCCAGGCCAGCCTGGTCTACAGAGCAAGTTCCAGGACAACCAGGGCTCTGTGACACAGAGACACCCTGCCTCGACACCACCCCCCTCAGAAAAAAAAAGAAAGAAAGAAAAGAAAAGAAAATAGCTGCTGGGGCTAGGGATGATGGCTCAGTGTGTCACGTGTAAATATTTGCTGCATAAGCATGAGGACTTGAGTTCAGATGCCCAGCACCCACATAGAAGCTGGCTGCGAGAGCAGGTGAGACAGTAGGTGTCTGTAACCTCAGGGCTCAGGGTCACAGGGGAGGGACACAGAGAGGGAAATGCTGGCTGGCAAGCTCCAGATTTAGTGAGGGACCATGTCTCAAAAAATAGGTGAAAAAGGATAGAGGGAGATACCCAATGTGGACCTTTGGCCTACACAAGCACAAACACATGCATGTGCACGTGTTCTTGTACGTACACGTACACACGTACGTACGTGTACATACACACACACACACACACACACACACACACACACCAAACATAAAACAACCCAACACACTGGCACAGGAGACCACTTCCTAAATATAATACCATTAGCACAGACACTGAGAGCAACAATTAATAAATGGGACCTCCTGAAGCTGAGAAGCTTCTGTAAGGCAAAGGACACGGTCAACAAGACAAAACAGTAGCCTACAGAATGGGAAAAAATCCTCACCAACCCCACATTTGACAGAGGGATTGATCTCTAAAATATATAAATAACTCAAGAAATTAGACATCAAAATACCAAATAATCCAATTTAAAAGTGGGGTAGAGAGCTAAATAGAGAATTCTCAACAGAAGAATTTCAGATGGCCAAAAGACGTTTAAGGAATTGCTCAACATCCTTAGTCATCAGGGAAATGCAAATCAAAATGACTCTGAGATACCATCTTACACCTGTCAGAATGGCTATGATCAAAAATGCTAACAACAACCTATGTTGGAAAGGATGTGGAGTAACTGGAACACTCATCCACTGCTGATGCAAACTTATACAGCCACTCTCAAAATCATTATGGCAGTTTATCAGAAAATTGGGAATCAATCTACCTCAAGACCAAGCAATACTACTATTGGGCATGTACCTAAGAGATGCTCAATCATACCACAAGGTCACTTGCTCAACCATGTTCAAAGCAGCATTATTCATAATAGCTAGAACCTGGAAACAACCTAGATACCCCTCAACTCAAGAAAGGATAAGAAAAATGTGGTACATATTATATACACAATGTGGTAAAAAACAAAAATGACATCATGAAATTCGTGGGCAAATGGATGGAACTAGAAAGAATCATCCTGAGTGAGGTAACACAGACCCAGAAAGACAAACATGGTATGTACTCACTCTTAAATGGATATTTGATGCAAAGCAAAAGATAACCAGGCTACAACTCACAACCCCAGAGAAGGTAGGTAAAAGGATGACCCTAAGAGGGACATACATGGAGGGCCCCAGGAAGGGAAATTAGTTAAGGTCTCCTGGGTAAACTGGGATGAGGGTGGAAGGGAAGAGATGGGTGATGGGAACATGAGAGACTGAGATGGTCCAGTGGAGGGAGGGACAGAGAGGGAGAACAATGAAAGAGATATCTTGGTAGAGGGGGAAGATATCTTATATCTTATAAAGAGGGGGAAGATAACCCATTAGGGGGTTAGAGAGAAACCTGGTGCTAGGGAAATCCTCAGGAATCCACAAGGATGACACCAACTAAGACTCCTAGCAATAATGGAGAGGGTGCCTGAACTTACCTTCCGCTATAATCAGATTAATAACTACCCTAATTGTCTTCACAGAACCTACATCCAGTAACTGATGGAAGCAAATGCAGTGATCCACAACCAAACACTGGGCTGAGCTCCTAGACTTCAGTTGAAGAGAGGGAGGAGGGATCACAGGAGCAGATGAGGTCAAGATCATGATGGGGAAAACCACAGAGACAGCTGACCCAAGTTGGTGGGAGCTCATGGACTCTGGCCTATCAGCTGGGAAATATGCATACGACCAAACTGAACCCTCTGAAATGTGGGTGACAGTTATATGGCTAGATCTGTTTGGGGAGCCCCTATCAGTGGGACCAGGACTTATCCTGGGTGTATGAAATGGCTTTTTGGAATACATTCTCTAGGGTTGGCTCAACCAGGGGGAGGGGCTTGGTCCTGCCTCAACTTAGTTTGCAAGACATTGTTGACTCCCCAAGGGAGGCCTTACCCCTTCTGAGGAGTGGATAGGGAGACTGGAATTGGTATGTAAAATTAAAAATGTTTTTTAAATAAATAAAAAGATACCAGAAAACTGAACACATCCTTCCACACACCCTTGCCCCACCCAACCCACCCAGATCTCATGTCAAGTACCCCAACCTAGTTTGGCCACCCCAGAATGAGCCTCAACCAACCTCTAGGATTCCACCAAGACCTGCTCTGTCTACCCAAATCCTACAAGCTCCTCCCACACCACACTCACCTCTCCACTTAGCCATATCTACCCCTACACTCGAGGCCTGGACCAGAAAACACATGCTGTACAACAATCCAGTCTGCGCTGTTCATTTGACTTCCTTCTACCTAAGTCCTTTCTCACCTCTAGGCCTAACCCACTTGTACATCCCTTCTTGTGTCTCAATTTGCTTTGTCCATAATAGTCATAAAACTAAGAAAAGAAGTCCATCTGCCTAGATGTTATTGCAAGAATACAAACAATATGAAAAGATCAAGCTAGTATTTCCTCTCCAAAACCTACCAGTGCTGTGGAAATGTTTGCCAATGATAATTACCTAGGTGAAACCCAAGACACAGAATCTAAAAAACCAATCATGGGCTGGAGAGATGGCTCAGAGGTTAAGAGCACTGGCTATTCTTCCAAAGGTCCTGAGTTCAATTCCCAGCAACCACATGGTGGCTCACAACCATCTGTAATGAGATCTGGTGCCTTCTGGCCTGCAGGGATATGTGCATGCAGAACACTGTATATATAATAATAAAAAATAATAATAAAATAAACATCCAATAATTTAAACAGTTTAAGAAGACACAAAGAAATAGCTCAATGAAATTAAGGAGAAAGAACTTAAGGAAAACAAACCTCTGAGTGATGCCCAAGAAAACACAAACATAACGCTGGTGGATATGATGGAGATAATCCAGAACTTGAGAACAGAATTCAATAAAGAGATGCAAACATGGAAGAGGACTCAAACTGAAATGAGGATGGACCTGAAAAACCTAGTAAGCCGAGATTCCCCTTCTTCTCCAGGGTCCTTTGGCCACTCGGCCACAAGGGCAAAGGGGGTAGAAGTGGCAAGGAGAGCCTCGTCCAGTCTATGAGCATGATGGAAATAGCCTTCTGGGAGACTGCTTCAGTGTTATAGTTCAACTTCATTCCAGAGTGAGGGCAGATATGATGGGAGATATGAAGGATAGGGACAGTGGCACCACCTAATTGGCATTAAATAGCACAGTCCTACCATAAAGCTCCTAGCACAATGTTTAATTATCACATGGGCAGCAGAGGGAAAGCTGTTGCAGGGAACTGTGTCAAGGGTCACACTAGAGATAAGTCAGGCATCTGGGCCTAGAGACAGTCTCCAAATAAGGTCAGACAGAGAGTAGGAAGCTTCCCCTGGGGAACTGGGGGGAATCCTTCATGTTGTTGAGCTTAGAGAGAGCTGCCTAGCCATGGTAGAGACTACAACCTCTGACCAGTAGGGACTCCCAACAGTAAGTCAACTAGAAAACTCAAGGGAAGCCTTACAAGTAAACTGCGTCAAGCAGAAGATAGAATATTAGGTTTTGAAGATGAAGTAGAAGATTTAGACCAAATAATCAAAGAATATGAAAAAAAATCTTAAAAACACATAAACATACAGGAAATGTGGAGTAACATGATAACTAAACCTTCAATTATAAGCACAGATGAAGGAAAAGAATCCCAAGTAAATGGCATAGACCAAGTCTTCCACAAGTTCATAGAAGAAAAATTCCCCAAACTAAGGAAAGACACACCCATACAAATACAAGAAACACACAGAATATCAAATAGACAAGACCAGAAAAGAAAATACCCATAACATATCATAGTTAAAGTACTAAGTATACATAACAAAGAAAGTGTACTGAAAGCTGCAAGGGGAAAAAAAAACAATACCACAAGTCACATCTAAGGAAAGCTCAACAGAGTAACAGCTGATTTCCCAGGGAAACCTTTGAAAGCCAGAAGACTGGAGTAATGCATTCAAGTCAGTCCTAAAAGACCATGAGGATCCGCCTAAACTAATATAACTGCCATATTGAAATGCAAAGAACAATTTTCTATAATCTAAACAGCCTAAACATTTTTCTACCCAACAAACCAAATCTAAAAAAAACACAGGAAGTAATGAACACAACCAATATAGAATATGGAAAGAAATATAAAGCCATCATTATTAAAATACAAAAATACCACTGAAAACACAACACAAAAAACTAATAACACAATGACTAAAATTAACACACACATTTCTTTTTTATTTGTTTGGTTGCTTTTTTGTTTTTGTTTTTTCAAGACAGGGTTTCTCTGTGTAGCTCTGGCTGTCCTGGAACTCACTCTGTAGACCAGGCTGGCTTCGAACTCAGAGATCCGCCTGCCTCTGCCTCCCCAAGTGCTGGGATTAAAGGGATCACCACCACCACTGGCAACATGCACATTTCAATAATAACCTTAAATATCAATGGCCTGAATTCTCAAAACAAAAGACACAAACTGAAAGGACAAGAAACAAAATCCATCTGTGTGCTAGATTTTTTCTTTCTTTCTTTTTTTTTAAAGATTTATTTATTTATTATGTACACAGTGTTCTGCCTGCATGTATGTCTGCACACCAGAAGAGGGCACCAGATCTCATTACAGATGGTTTTCAGCCATCATGTGGTTGCTGGGAATTGAACTCAGGACCTCTGGAAGAGCAGCCAGTGCTCTTAACCACTGAGCCATCTCTCCAGCCCCCTGTATGCTGTTTTTCCCCTGTATGCTGTTTTTAAGAAACACAGCTTTAAAAACAGGCACATTCCGGGCGGTGGTGGCGCACATCTTTAATCCCAGCACTCGGGAGGCAGAGGCAGGTGGATCTCTGTGAGTTCGAGGCCAGCCTGGGCTACCAAGTGAGTTCCAGGAAAGGCGCAAAGCAACACAAGAGAAAACCTGTCTCGAAAAACAAAAACAAACAAACAAAAAAAAAACAGGCACCATCTTAGAGTAAAAGGATGGACTACAAACACTCCAATCAAATGGGACCAGGAAGCAAGCAGGCTTCCCTTATTCTAGCAGTTGACAAAATAGATGTCAAACTAAAACTAACCATAAAAGATAAAGACACTTTGTTTTAATCAAGGTAACACTTAACCAACACATTTATGATCCTAAACATACATTCACCTAGCTGGGTGTGGTGGCGCACACCTTTAATCCCATCACTCAGGAGGCAGAGGCAGGAGGATCTTTGTGAGTTCAAGGCCAACCTGGTCTACAAATCGAGTTCCAGGACAACCAGGGCTGTTACACAGAGACAGAGGTCTCAAAAAATGTATATATTTTTTCACCAAATACTGGTGAATCCAATTTCATTAAAAAAAAAAAATGGCCGGGCGGTGGTGGCGCACGCCTTTAATCCCAGCACTCGGGAGGCAGAGGCAGGCGGATCTTTGTGAGTTCGAGGCCAGCCTGGGCTACCAAGT